ATGTGGGTCTTGTGTTGATAATCCATAATACACGGGCTCGTGCCCAGTCCCTCAAGGTATGAATCGGCATGACGCCTTGAAAACCTAGCGTACGAAGGTAACCACGAGAGCTGTTCTGCAAAATGCACTGGGAACGAAAAATTTTAGCTGCCGAACGTCCTTTGGAGAAACGTAAAGATGTCAACTAAATATTGACTTTAAATCCTTCCAGGTAATACGGAGGAAACGTACACCATTAAAGACTTGAGAGAAGACTTGCAGACCGCCTTGGAAGTAGAGCACGCGACCATCCCACCATACATGACTGCCCTAGCCACTCTCAAGACTAGCAAAAACGCTGACATTAGGCATAGACTACGCGAGGTCTTTATTCAAGAGATGTTTCACCTGACACTTGTCGCCAATATTCTCAATGCAGTTGGAGGGAAACCAACACTGAATGATCCAGGATTCATTCCTAGCTACCCTTCAACGCTTCCAGGTGGCCTCCATCCCAAACTGATTGTCCCTATCAAAAAATTCACACTCTCTTTGGTGAAAGACGTGTTCTCGATGATAGAACAGCCAGAGGTAGAAGTAGCGACATCAAGTAGCTTTAAACATATTTTTACGTTTGTACGTAGAAGCAAAGATGGATTAGGTCACTGCCAAGGAAGTGAAGCCGGAGTTAACTGCGAATTAAAAGGAAACACAATAACCCGGATGGATCTATCAGGTTGCTTTATTTCAGACGATGAAAAGGCTCAGTTTCAGAAAGGTGAGTCTGACATGATTATTCTCTTTAACCATCAACTTCTATGCTCATATCAAAAACTAGTAGCCTGATAAAACAGTCGACATTTCGTGACGTCACCACTGGTCTTTCAACCAATGAAAAGTACTACCCAGATCTGGGTTGTGACGTGTCATCAGTATGGAATTTCTGCGCTCGTTTTTTAGACGTCATTTCGCGAGGAAATCAGTGGTGACGTCGTGTAATGTCAACTTTTTCCTCTGGGTCAACGCTCGATTGATTGTATTTCGGAATAAGAATACGCAAAGTCGCAAACTTTTTGGTACAAATCTTGGACCGTTTTAACTCTACCGACATCGGGAATTTCATTTGAGGCAGATTCCTACTAGATACTCTAATTCAATGAATGCAAAGAAGTGATTTTCCATATACCCTTATTCCGGAATGCGGTCAATTGCAGCTTTCAGGCTACCAAAATTAACTGAATTTGTTTATAAAAATATTCTCAGTAATGCAAATTAACTTGAAATGAACCAGTAGTTTTGGAGGGGAAACGACGACTCGCGGCAAGCCAAGAAATATCAGTGGGATGAAAATAAAGATCGTTTCAGCGTGCATATAATTATGCAGTTGCATATAGTTAAACTGAGTTAAACGGGCAATGGCATGCGCGTAACTGGATTTGCGTCTTACTCAAGGAACAATTAAAAAACCTTCGCATCATACGGCCCAATTTTATAGTGCCACGCTGCGCTGTTCACGCTGTTTATGGAATAACACTTTGATAGCGTCATAATAACCTACATTACTAACTGTGTTATTAAAAATAAAATATTCTTTTGACTACAGAATTTAA